TCTTTAATCTGCAGTGTTTTCTCTGTGACAACAATATTTCATGTCAAACGCTGAGCTCACAGCTGATTGGACGGCTGCAGCCCTTCACAGCTGAGGAACAGCTCAGTGCAGCTGACCTTTGACACACTCCACCTACCACTGCAACTGTTTCACATCCTGATTGGTTGATTAAATACTCTCCAGTTGCTGGACTTGAAGATCAAGCAAGAGGAAGTGAAGACACGACCAGTTCTTCATCTGTTGTTGTTGTTGTTGTTGTTACCACGGAAACTGTGAAACTCAAAAAAAAATAAACGACTCACCTTTAAATATGACTGATTAATGAACCTAAAGACTAGTGGTCTGTTTGACCTAATTATTCTGCAGTGAAATGAACGACACACTGGAGTCTGTGGGACGTTGACAGACACAGGAGGCGCAGCTTCACGGCCCACACACAAATATGACTATTAACGTACAACATCCACCTTTAACACAAAAGGAAAATCCACGAAGAAAAACAGGTATTTATCGGATACAAGCCAACAACAGTGGCTCCGTCACCAGCTCTGCTGTGAAGTGTTGTGTAATCTGAGGAGGTTCAGTGGAAGGGGATCAGGCCACAGCAGTGAACGCCCCCACAGGGAGGACATGGGATCCATCCCTCTTGGACAGGAGCCCCGCCCCTGCTTTATTATTCAGACTCTACATTTGTCCAGATTAATAATCCCATCATTTGGATTAGTCACAGGTGAGAAACACTGACCTCTACTTGTTGCAGCACAGTACAGGCGTTCTGATGTTGAATTAATAACGACTAATCGTGATTAATCCACAGCTACTCTGGCTGATGAGCAGGACACGTCTGCCTCAGACAGAGTGACCTTTGACAAGGTCGTGGTGGTGCTGCAGCTGCAGGTCTATGTAGACCACCTCACTAACATGCTGCTGCGGTTCAAACAGCTCAACCCGTGGCTCGTGTTCAATATGTTGACACTTACATAACACAGTGGTTTAATTGGTCCCTCTGAGACTGGGTGATGACATCATTAGTGATGAACTGTACAAGTGTTGTTTTAGCAACGTTATAATTAGTGATGCAACAAAATTAAAATTCTTGGCTGAAACCGAAAACCAAAAGAAATGATTCAGCCAATTATTATTGACCATGTGATTAATGACTCGTTTAAGGCCCTGGGATTGAATAAATGAATAATAAATGAATAATAAATGAATAATAAATGAATAATTGTCAAAATAATTCACTGTCAAATGTCGAGCAGAGAAATCAAATCAACAGATAGTCAGACAGGAAGTCAGAACAGAACAGCTAACCTCATATTATTATTGGAGAAGCTCTCTGTCAGGACCCTCCCCCATTTGATAAATACCTGTTTTTCTTCGTGGATTTTCCTTTTGTGTTAAAGGTGGATGTTGTACGTTAATAGTCATATTTGTGTGTGGGCCGTGAAGCTGCGCCTCCTGTGTCTGTCAACGTCCCACAGACTCCAGTGTGTCGTTCATTTCACTGCAGAATAATTAGGTCAAACAGACCACTAGTCTTTAGGTTCATTAATCAGTCATATATAAAGGTGAGTCGTTTATTTTTACTATTCGACCAGGACTTTTTTTTTTGCTTCATCACAGCCACAAAGGTCAAGAAAACTTCTGTTCTGCATGTAACAAACGTAATATTTCTAAATGTTGACCTTTTTCTTCAACCCGACTTTAAAAGCCCTGCAATACCTCCGTGAACCTCTGGTTGTCACAGCCTTTTTTTATAGGAAAAAGTGTGTATGTGTGAAGAACATTTAAACAACGACGTCACATGAACTGCTTTTATCAGGGATGGTCAACTGGTGTCTGAGGACTTTTTGACTGGGCCGACCAGCTCCGTCAGTGTCCGTGCGTCAGGTCTCTCACCTGTGTCCTGTCTGAACTGGTGCATGGACTGCAGGTCGATGACGTACGGAGAGAGCTGTGCGTCCACCTGGCCCAGAACCACCGTCCCTCTGGCGTCACCCTTCAGAACATTCTCAATGTGGTGACAAACAGCTGCACTGTAGGGTCTCCAGCGACCGTGTTCGTTCAACCACTCCCAGACCACCACCCTGGCTAAGTTCTGGGGCGGATACCCCATCCCGCCAACGGACGCCAGCATCCCCGATCCTGAACGGGCCATCTCTGTGACGGTGTCCCCGGTTAGAACACCACTGCCTCCCTGTCAGTCAACTGACACACTGGAACATTCTCAGCCGCTGCAAAAGGGGAAACCAGCTCAGGTCAGCGCTCGATGTAGGACCGTCCTGGATTAGCTCATGCTGCGTTCAAACAGGCGGCGTTGCTGGAGTCATCATCATCCACAGGTGCTGATGTGCAGAGAAGCAGCCTCCTCCTCCTCCTCCTCCTCCTCCTCTGGAGTGATGAAGACACGGCCGACTGCAGCAGATCAGCAGCAGGTAGAGTCTAACAGGGAAGTTCAGAGCACAGACACACTGGTTACTGACAGAGAAGCTGAGGCAGCACGGTGGCCTGGAAGGATGTTTACCAGAGTGTAGCAAGAAAACAACTGCCATATAAAAGCCCTATGTATGTGTGTGTGTGGGGGGGGGACAGGGGGGGTCCGTTCACAGCCATTGGACAGAAGCGAACATCAACACACACTCACACTCTGTGTTTGATGTCCGTTTGTTTTTAACAATCTTCTGCTGATTTCATTTTAAGGCTAATTTGGCGTCATTCGTCTGCACTACACTCACTGTGAGAAGGCTGCTGCTGCTGCTGCTGCTGCTGCTCGTACAGACCTGTGGGTTGCATTTGTGCAGCCAAACATCTGTCAGGTGAAGGCTGCGTTTCCCAGCCTGCAGCCACTAAACCAGACTGGAACACAACCGGTTTCAGTCTCCGTCGTTTTATTCCACAATTGTTCTCTCAGCCTCTGGTTCTTGCAGCTCCTCTCGTCTGTTGTTCTGCACAGACGCGAGCCGTCGTTCAACTCCAGTAAATGCGCTAGAGAGCAGAGCAGAGCAGCTTGTTGGATCACCTGCTCCTTCTGGACCCGTTTTTCTCTCCAATCTATGCATTCACGCGGCGACCGCACAATTCGCTCAAACCGCTGCAAAAATTACAGACAGAAAAAAAAATGTCTATACGCACCTGTGTGTGTGTGGTCAGCAGAAGAAAATCAGATGGAAATGTGTCATTCACAGAGGAAAACACGGGAACTAGATCCGGTGTCTGGTTTCAAAATAAAACCGAGGATCGATGACTAGAACGATGCTGAATGACAACGACAACCACAACGACGACAACAACCACAACAACAACCACAACGACAACCACAACAACAACAACGACAACCACAACGACAACCACAACAACGACAACAACCACAACAACAACGACAACAACAACAACAACGACAACAACGACAACGACCACAACCACAACAAAAACAACAACCACAACCACAACAACGACAACAACAGCCACAACAACAACCACAACAACGACAACAACAGCCATTCAACGATGATGATGTTTATATGTACACAGTATGAAGATTTTAATGATTTAATGAATTTATAAAAATCAAATTGACGCCAACACTTTAACATTATTAAAATACAACACCAATAAATAGATCTGACCTAGAAATTCTAATAATTTCATGTCAATGTAAATATCTGTTCTACTTGAAGTGTCACAGCAGACTGCAGTACTACACGTAGTACCATGTAGATCACACCTTCTCAAGTGTGTACATTAATTTTTAACACAACATGAAATGTTTTGGATCAATTGATCTTCATAGAAGTGATCAGGAAATACTCTGAAATATGTCGAGTGATGAGGACATTTTATACGAGAGAAAATAACGAAACATTAGCCAAGATATTTCAAAACTCATCGTAAAAACAAAGAAATAAATGGTAACAGTGAAGATAAAGTTAGCCATCCAGTTATATATGCATATATAATGTTCATAACGTCAAACTGCTTTAGGTTAACGACGAGTTAAAGGACAGAGAGAGAGAGAGGGAGAGAGAGGGTGAGACAGACAGAGAGAGAGAAAGTAAGGGACAGAGAGAGGATGAGGGAGACAGACAGAGAGAGGGAGAGACAGAGAGAGAGAAGGTGAGGGACAGAGAGAGAGTGACAGAGGGAGGGGGTCAGGGGTACAGACCGAGAGAGAGAGACACAGAGAGAAAGAGGGTGAGACACAGAGAGAGGGTGAGGGACAGAGAGAGAGGGTGAGGGAGACAGAGAGAGGGAGAGAGAGAGAGAGGGTGAGACACAGAGAGAGGGTGAGGGAGACAGACAGAGAGACAGAGAGAGAGACAGAGGGCGAGGGACAGAGACAGAGAGACAGAGAGAGAGAGGGTAAGGGAGACAGACAGAGAGACAGAGAGAGAGACAGAGAGAGAGAGAGAGACAGAGAGACAGAGACAGAGAGACAGAGACAGAGAGAGAGAGAGCTGACAAGTCCATATTGTCGACACATTTCACTCCATATTTCAGCCTGTGGTTTAAATTCGGTGACGTTTATTCCATGTATGTTTTGTACAAATGTACACTTCATCATTCATGGTGCTGGGAAAGAAAAGTCACTGCTTTGACCTTCATGACCCTGGACGGTAGCTCAGTGATGATGATGGTGATGTGGAGTGACATCACAGGATGACGTAGGTGAAGAGTGCCATGATGGCAGCACTGATCAGCCCAGATATGGGAACTGTGACGAACCAGGCGATGAAGATGTTCCTGAAGAGACGCCAGTCCACAGACTTCCTGGAGCGCAGCCAACCCACAGACACCACTGACCCAACCTGCCACAGTCCACAGTCACAGAGGTGAGGGTCACTCAGGAGCTCAGCACTATCTTCACATTCATTTAGTTCAGGGGGGGCGGGGCATAGGTGGTGTTAAATATCCATCTGAAGTCTGTCGTAAACTACAGGTCAAAGGTTACCAAACGACTCATGACTTCTTAGTATGCATTAGCATGTCCTGTAGCACCATGCTAGCACTGCTCTATTATATAATGCACTGTGTTCTCATTCACCAAGCTAACCATGCTAACATCTATAGCCTCTGGTTCTTCTTGTTGCATTACTGCCACCTGTAGGCTGCCACATGTGTCCCTACATGTGGTAAATCATTCATCTAGAGCAGGGGTTCCCAACCCCTGGTTCCAGTCCATGGGTCATTACCGGACCCCAATACTAAAAGAATAAAGGCAAATAAATAAGTTTTATTTTGAAAATCCCTCAATGAACAGTCAGTAGAACTGTCTGGTACCGATCGGTCCCTCTTAGAATAAAGAAGGTTAAGGTTCGTGCTGTTTTATTTATTCTCTCTCCATGGACAACTTCTGCAAACATTCAAATTCAGCAAATGGTTTTCAGCTAAAACCAGAAAATAAACAAAAGAATTTCCTCCTGATGCGACTGTTATTATCCAAAAAACACACACACGTTGTAGCATTAGCTAGTACTACGTCTGATCATTCAACACCGTCTACCCCTAGAGGGAGCCCAAGCACCAACAGTACTCGGACTCCACCACCAGTGGATGTTCATTTTTCATGGAATAGTTTTTTGTTTGTTTTTTTTACCTTGCAGTGTGTCGTGCTGACAGGAAGTCCAACGTTAGACGCCACCACCACGGTGACGGCCGACGCTAGCTCGATGGTGAAACCACTAGAATAAAGTCGTTGTTGTTACTTCAGTACAGGCTGGAAATAAAAAGATGAATGTGTGGAATACCTGGAGGGGGTGATGGGGGTGAGGTCCCTGCCCAATGTCTGGATCACCCTTCTGCCCCACACCCACAGACCAGTACAGATGCCCACGCCTCCATACAGGAGCAGCCAGATTGGTGTGGGGGCACTGGACATTACAGAGCCACTCTCATACACGAGCCACAGCGCCACCAGGGGACCAATGGCGTTACTAGTAGAAAATGTTGCAGATGTCAACCCACTGAGTGGACAACAATGAAACGGACCCAGCCCAGACCTGCTCCCCACCTGACGTCATTTCCTCCATGAGCGAAGGAGCCAAAACAAGCAGTGAGTATCTGCAGGAACTGGAAGAGCAACGAGACGGCTGGTTGGTCCACCTCCAGCTCATCCTCCTCCTCCTCCTCCTCCCGAGTGACGTCCCGGCCAACTTCCTGACTCCCACTCTCCTCCTGGCCCACGCTCCCGCCCGTCACTGCTGAGCTGTAGCTGCTGTAGCTGTCCACCCTGGACCGTCTCTGCAGAACCCCGTCAGGGTCCCTGTGTTTGGGGTCTCCTTGGATTCCATATATGGCCATGGTGTAGGAGGTGTAGCTGTTGTTCCTCCTCATTGGCTGCTCCTCGGCCTCACTGTCACCGATGCAGTCTCCCACTTTGGCTCTGTGTAGTTTCTGCAGCAGGTCTTTGTACAGACCAGAGTCTTTGAGGACGGTGTGAGAGCGCCCACTGTGGGGGTCTGTGATCACCATGGGCCCGACGGCACCGTTCACACCTGGACAGACCGACACGTGGAATCCGTCAGTGACTCCTTTTTAAGTACCTTAAATCCTTTGAATCTGTAGTTTCTCACCGCAGCTGACGTCCACGTCCTTGTTCTCCGCCTCAGTTTTGTCCACGTCAGCTTCTTCAGAACCTCCCAGTTTGAAAGCTACTTTCTGAGCGTCTGTGGAGGAGGTCTGTGGTGGGGGGTCCTGGGGTCCTAGGGGCCATGTTACTGGTGCAGAACTGATGAGGTTCTTGTCCATGAGTGGGGTTTGACCGGGGTCAGAGGTCAGTTCTCCTGAAACACACGTGTGTTTGAACATGAGAAGAGGGAACGCTGCAGAGAACCTTCTGGACTCTGAAGGATCAGGTCTAACCAGGGTTAGAACCAGAACCAACAAAGGACAGAACCACAGACCAATCAACAGTCGCAGAACATTTTTGAAATGTCTGTGATGTCAAAGAGAAGCTGTCTTTTGTAGTATTACTACAATACTCCATTGACTGTAGTACTGCCAGTATTAAAAACCGCACCTGTAGTACTGCCAGTATTAAAAAGATCACTAATCTCACCGCAGTTTATATTTAGATGTGGGCCACATATACAGAGGTGGGCCACATATACAGGTGTAGACCATGAATGAAGGATTTACTCACGTGCTATTTTCTTCTTCAGACGTGGACAGACGACAAACCAAACAAGTGAAGCAGTGACGATGGCACAGCCCAGACAAACACACAGAGTTCCCCACCACGGAACGGAGTCCAGGCCCAGCACTGAGCACAGCACACACACACACAAATATTGTTGTTGTTGTTATTGTTATTGTTGTTGTTATTGTTATTGTTATTATTGTTGTTGTTATTGTTATTGTTGTTGTTATTATTATTTGTAGTATTACTACAATACTCCATTGACTGTAGTACTGCCAGTATTAAAAACCGCACTTTATATTTAGTTGTGGGCCACATATACCTATGTGGGCCACAGGTCATACAGGTGTAGACCATGAATGAAGGATTTACTCACGTGCTATTTTCTTCTTCAGACGTGGACAGACGACAAACCAAACAAGTGAAGCAGTGACGATGGCACAGCCCAGAGAAACACACAGAGTTCCCCACCACGGAACGGAGTCCAGGCCCAGCACTGAGCACAGCACACACACACACACACAAATATTGTTGTTGTTGTTATTGTTGTTATTATTATTTGTAGTATTACTACAATACTCCATTGACTGTAGTACTGCCAGTATTAAAAACCGCACTTTATATTTAGTTGTGGGCCACATATACAGGTGTAGACCACAGATGTAGACCACATATACAGATGTAGACCCCATATGCGTATGTGGGCCACATATACAGGTGTGGGCCACATATAACTATGTGGGCCACAGCTCATACAGATGTAGACCACATATACAGGTGTAGACCACAGATGTAGACCACATTTACAGATGTAGACCACATTTACAGATGTAGACCACATTTACAGATGTAGACCACATATACAGGTGTAGACCACAGATGTAGACCACATATACAGGTGTGGGCCACATATACAGGTGTAGACCATGAATGAAGGATTTACTCACGTGCTATTTTCTTCTTCAGACGTGGACAGACGACAAACCAAACAAGTGAAGCAGTGACGATGGCACAGCCCAGACAAACACACAGAGTTCCCCACCACGGAACGGAGTCCAGGCCCAGCACTGAGCACAGCACACACACACACAAATATTGTTGTTGTTGTTATTGTTATTGTTATTATTATTGTTGTTATTATTATTTGTAGTATTACTACAATACTCCATTGACTGTAGTACTGCCAGTATTAAAAAGATCACTAATCTCACCGCAGTTTATATTTAGATGTGGGCCACATATAACTATGTGGGCCACAGGTCATACAGGTGTAGACCACAGATGTAGACCACATTTACAGATGTAGACCACATATACAGGTGTGGGCCACATATAACTATGTGGGCCACAGCTCATACAGATGTAGACCACATATACAGGTGTAGACCATGAATGAAGGATTTACTCACGTGCTATTTTCTTCTTCAGACGTGGACAGACGACAAACCAAACAAGTGAAGCAGTGACGATGGCACAGCCCAGACAAACACACAGAGTTCCCCACCACGGAACGGAGTCCAGGCCCAGCACTGAGCACAGCACACACACACACAAATATTGTTGTTGTTGTTATTGTTATTGTTGTTGTTATTGTTATTGTTGTTGTTATTATTATTATTATTGTTATGGTTGTTAGTATTATTGTTGTTGTTATTATTATTATTATTGTTATTATTATTGTTGTTGTTGTTATTGTTGTTATTATTATTGTTATGGTTGTTAGTATTATTGTTGTTGTTATAATTGTTATTATTATTGTTGTTATTATTATTTGTAGTATTACTACAATACTCCATTGACTGTAGTACTGCCAGTATTAAAAAGATCACTAATCTCACCGCAGTTTATATTTAGATGTGGGCCACATATAACTATGTGGGCCACAGGTCATACAGGTGTAGACCACATATACAGGTGTAGACCACATATACAGATGTAGAAAACATATACAGATGTGGGCCGCATATACAGATGTAGAAAACATATACAGATGTAGAAAACATATACAGATGTAGACAACATATACAGATGTGGGCCGCATATACAGATGTAGACCCCATATGCGTATGTGGGCCACATATACAGGTGTAGACCATGAATGAAGGATTTACTCACGTGCTATTTTCTTCTTCAGACGTGGACAGACGACAAACCAAACAAGTGAAGCAGTGACGATGGCACAGCCCAGAGAAACACACAGAGTTCCCCACCACGGAACGGAGTCCAGGCCCAGCACTGAGCACAGCACACACACACACACACACAAATATTGTTGTTGTTGTTATTGTTATTATTGTTGTTATTATTATTGTTGTTGTTATTGTTGTTATTATTGTTGTTGTTATTGTTGTTATTATTGTTGTTGTTATTGTTGTTATTATTGTTGTTGTTGTTATAATTGTTATTATTATTGTTATTATTATTGTTATTATTGTTGTTGTTGTTATAATTGTTATTATTATTGTTATGGTTGTTAGTATTATTGTTATTATTGTTGTTATTATTGTTGTTGTTGTTACGTGGTGCTCCTGTAAACATGATGGAGAAGAGGTTGATGCCCATGGTGACGCCGTAGAAGAGAGGCAGAGCTCTGAGGCCGTTGGGTACAGGGTCGGTCTGTGGAGACGGGTATCATCACATATACAGTACTTTACACGTACTAATACTGCGATGAAGGTGCGTATGACGTAGAAGAGAATCCCTGACATGAGGCCTGACAGAAGAGGTGACAGGAACCAGGACGACACTGTGGGAACAACAACACCATTCATTCATAACTGAGGTCAGTTTGGTGAAAATATCCCACAAGAAGAAGAAGAAGAAGAAGAAGGAGAAGAAGAATGGTGACCGATGCGCAGTAACTCCATCCATCTGACCCCGTGATGACCTCTGGCCACCAGAGAAAAGCCAATTGTGGCTCCAACAATGCAGTGGGTTCCAGAAATGGGAAGTTTCAGGAATGAGGCGACCAGCTGCCACACAGCAGAACCTGTGGAACAAAACGAGGAGTGAGGCCTGGGTTAGGGTCAGTCAGAAAGTCCTCAGACAGACTGGAACCAGTTCAGGTCATTCATGCTGCTGTAATACTACATACTCATGTACTGCATGTACTCAACACTGGGTTTCAGTTGTCTTTATATCTGAGAGGACGTTCCTTTGGTACTGCAGTACAGTACTTGGTACTGCAGTACAGCGTAGTACATCCACTGTGATGATGACTTTTGACCTCCTCTCCTCCCCTCTCTCCCCCCCTCTCTCCC